CCTGCAATAAGCAGGGACATCTTCAACTAGATCAGGTTGCTCAGAGCCCTGTCCAGCCTGACCTTGAATGTTTCCAGGGATGGGACAACTACCACTCTCTGGGAAACCTGTTCAAGTGTTTCACCACCCTCATTGTAAAAAAATTATTCCTTACATCTAGTCTAAATCTACCCTCTTTTAGTTTAAAATCATTACCCCTTGTCCTCTCACAACAGGCCCTGCTGAAAAGTTTGTCCCCATCTTTCTTATAAGCTCCCTTTAAGTACTGAAAGGCCGCAGTAAAGTCTCCCTGGAGCATTCTGTTCTCCAGGCTGAACAACCCCAACTCTCAGCCCGTCCTCATATGAGAGATGCTCCAGCCGCCTGATCCTCTTCGTGGCCCTCCTCTGGACTCGCTCCAACATGTAGGAAGGAAACTGAAGGAGAGGAGCCTGTGCAGGAACAGTTTCTCCTGACAGGAACTGTAGCCTATGGAGGACCCACACTGGAGTAGGTTTATCCTGAAGGACTGCAGCCTGTGGGAAGGACCCACGCTGGAGCAGGGGAACGGAGTGAGGAGGAAGGAGCAGCAGAGAGGAATCATTATGGACTGACCATAACTCCCGACTCCCCACCCCCTGCACTGCTGGGTGGGGTGGAGGACGTGGAAGAGTTGGGAATGTAGGAGTGAAGTTGAATCTGGGGGAAAAAAAAGAGAGGAGGAGGAGGTGGTTTTGTCTTTGTTTCTCACCATCCGACTCAGTTGGCAATAAATTAAATTAATTTTCCCCAAGTCAAGTCTGTTTTGCCTGTGATGGTAATTGGTAAGTGATCTTCCTGTCTTTATCTTGTCCCATGAGCTTGCTCATCTTACTTTCTCCCGCTGGATTGCTTAGGAGGGGAGTGAGAGAGCGGCTGGGTGGGTGTCTGGCAGCCGGCCGAGGCCAGCACACCACGCTACTCTAACAACTGTGGTTTTCAATACAAAGCTGAGCTGTGCTCAGTTCTCAAAAGTGGCTTGGAAGCACCAGCTTTTAGTGGCAGTTTTAGGATGGTGCCCCCCAGCTGCCTGGAGCTCTCTCTCTGCAGCCCTGCAAAAGGTGTCTGAGGAGCATTACACCTCTGCTGGCTTCTGCGGGCTGACTCCTGTAGCTCCGTGCTCGCTGTAAGCTGCTCCCTGGTCAGTTGCTTGCCAGGTTTTGGGTCCAGTTTTGAAATGTTGATCTCCTCCCTAGACCGTTAAACACATTTATCATTAAGAATCTTGGAGGCCTGGAAGGAACAAATATTTCTCCTGTATCAGATAGCCAGTAATTTGTCAGAATTTTATGTGCTTCACGCAAGGCCAAATCATGTTGCTTCAGGAGGTCTCACCACCTGCACTGTACCCAAATTACTGCATTATTTATTTCTACCAGTCCTGTGATCTGTCTCTCTCTACCACAGCTGGGCATGCGTGGCACAATTTCATAGTGAACCTTCACCCACTCTCCCTACCTCCTTCCAAAAATATATTAATGTATTTTATTGCTTAATTGTAGAGTTGTATTTCTGTTAAATTTCCCCCTCCTCCTTTCCCCCAGTCTAGTGCAGAATAAGAATTCAGACTACACTGTATATTGAATTTGAATTTTACAGCTGAAATCATGGTAAGGGCTGTGAAATGAGCTCCAATTTTGCCTACGTGTTTTTATTTTATAGCTTCTTATTCTTTGCCTTTTTAGGGTAAGCAAGCCCTGTTTTTCTTTCTCTCCCTTTTCTATGTCCCTGATCATTCTTGCCATGCTTTTATTCTGCAATATCTTTCTGTTTAAGAGGACTCATAATGTTCCATATAAGTCTGAACTTATATGAAACACTATTTCATGGAGCAGTTTTAATGTTCTTTGTGTCATTAACACTTTCCATGTATACATCCCTTCACCTTGTGAGCAGGGCATTTCACTGAGCTGTACATATATAGTGCTTGGGTTCCCTTTCTGAGAGCATATGGTTAATTTAGAAGCATATAATGTAGTAGTTTGCATGCTTTTCACTTGTATTCATTGATTTCCATTTGCCCACATTGCATGTCACTTGCCATCAAATTGAGAAATTGATGTAGTTGATGTGGGTCACCCTGAAGTTCCTTGCACCTCTCTGTTGTTTCTCTTGCCCATAGTACTTCTTGCCGTCCTGAGATCTTCTTGTCTCATGGTTCCTTCTTTCTCTCAGCAACATTAATGAGAGGTTTTCCTATGGAACCCCAAGGAATAGTTCTTAAGCTTTTGTAGTGGTGAAGGTGACCGTTTAATCCCGTTCTTGCTTTTTGTTTTCTAAGCAGCTAGTTTTTCATCCAAAATAGTGTTTGTTTTCGTATGCTTTGACTTGTTTTATTTCTTTTCTGGCATAGCTTGTGGAAGTCTAAATAAGGTATAAAAGTGTTTCCTGGATTCAGTGCTCCACTGGCACACTCAACCCCTTCCAGGAGATGAGGAACATCTAATTCCAGTACCTATTAGTGGTGTCTAATTCCAGACTAGTAATATCTAATTTCAGGACATTAGTAAAATCTGGAGAAGCCATGTCAGTTAGAAGTTGAAAGAAATACTGTACTTAATGGTTTTTAACCAAACTTTAAGGAACTGATGCAGAAATGACAGGTCTGAAAATCCATATGTCGCACCTGCAGTTTTTGAAATATAGAAAGACATCGTTCACTACTCTCCAGGTTCAGAAGCAATGTGTCTTTTCAGTGAGATATACTACATGTTGTTGCTAGCAAGTTATCTGCATCATCCCTAGACTTCAGAAGGTTTTTAGTGTCTCATACTTTTATTATTTTAAGAGTAATTGATTTTATTGGAAATTATAAACCAGGTGACCCTTGTTTAAGAACTGCTGTAGATAGACTAATGAAAGGATTGCTGTTGTGTTAGGTGGCAGAACTAGTAGAGATCTTACCTAAGTACTTCAAGTCTTGGAACCTGGGCAGTGAGACAGAGTGTAAATTGTAGGCTACCTTTGCAGATTTTGGTAAGCTGAACTTCGAAGAAATCAGTAATAACAAAAGGGAAAGCGCTTTTTCGTCTTACCTTGAATTATGTTCAAATTAATATATGGGAAATGGGAGTTACTTTAATACTCCCTGTTCCCGCAAAGTAAATGTTCTAATCACCAAAGCACTATTGCGTGTCATCTATCTAATTCTGTGTTACAAAGTATGTAATAGAGGCACTAATTATAACTAAAAAATTATTTATGAAAAATTTGCATGGAGATGAGATTTTTTTTGGCATCATCCCTATTTTGAAACCTATTCATTTGGCCAGTTAATTTATTAAGAACGATGTTTGTCCGTCAAAGCCTGATCTTTTAAAAAGAAATCATATTCATTGGTATTTATAATGGATAAACATTAACATATACATAAATGATTTGGCAGATGATTTTTGAACAGACAAAATTGATTCCTGTTGTAAGACTGTTCCAGTTAACATTTTTATATGTAGTTATGTTTTTAGCATAAATTATCTGCACTTTAGGAATTAATTCTCCTGAGTGAACACTCAAATCTGAGAGTCGGTTGAAAGATCCCTCTTTTTTTTATATCAACGTGTAATAGAAATGACCATTTTTTTCCCAGTAAAGCTTAAGTTAACCAGTATGTACAGGGCTCAGTCTAAGGTGAGCCACAGTTATACATCAATTGACCATCACTGAGGTAAAATTATTAATGGGAAATAATAACCAGATTTTCAGGTGTTAATGATGCCCGAGGGCTATTTCTAGATTCATTTAATTGTTTCCGGATGAAAAAATTAAGTTAATCTATTTTATATTTTGAAATATATTAAATAATTTTAAAAGTTGCATATGATTCCCTTTAGTTTTCTGGGAGTTGAGTGGAGGGTAACTTAGGTATCTGGTTTTTAAGAAACTGGATGCATAACATAGACCTAATCATGGACTGTGAGCTTTGCTTCAGGAATAATTCAGGGCAGAATGTTAGTTTCTGTAAGATCTGTATTTCATTTGCTGCTAAAGCTGAATGTTGTATGGTCAGTGAGAAAGAGGATTACAGATGAAAAAGGAAAGATGGTCTGAGGTAGTTGAATGATCCCAAGAGAATTTCATTCTAGTCATATCTGAAACAAAAAGAGTTCCTGAATGAAGTTTCCAAACTTAAAAAAAAGTTTTCAAAATTCAAGGCTTTCACTGGAAGTCTTTCAGTCTTTCATTTTTAAGACAATTGTCTTGAGTCTTAAAACTTGTTTTGCAGGTGATAGATGTGATACTAATTCGGTAAGGCACTGAAGGCCAAACTTGGAAAGGAGTTTAGGTCAATTTCCTAAATCTTGTAGGAGCTGGGCTGCTAAGTATCTTAACAGAGCTTGTCTTGAAGTAGTGTAATAAAAGTGTCATATGGAAATAAATGGAAAAACTCTGTCTTTAGTCCAGAGTTTAGATAATATAGAATTAATGCATGGCATATATTAAGCTGAGGGATACATTTCATTAATTATCTGCTTGGTTAATATGCATTTTCAGAATGAAAAACTTCATCATGAAATAAGATAAAATTCGCACAAGGGGATCAACTTAAAGTGGAATGGGTTGTCCTAGCACATGTATTACCTAGCTTTTTTTCATTGGCTTTCTAACTGTAACCTTCTTTTAATGAGATTTTAAATCCAATTTCACTATGGATAATAGGTATGAGAGTGTAGGTATTCAGAAAGCCCAGAGACTAAAAAGAATATAGTGTCATGTAACCCTCTTCTTTGGTCATGATGAATTTTCTTTCTTACACTTTCACTAGCACTTTTTTCCATCTCGTGCAAATAAATCAAGAAACAGGTGTCATATTGTGTGTGTAAGTATCACTGGCTATTGTTCAAATGGTTGAATTTGCTTTTTGTTATTCCATTGTTTCAATAAATTACTGTTTTTAAGCACTGAGCACATTTCTTTTGCAGCGTTCACAAAATGTTTTTTCCTACTGTTTCAGCTGTCATTTAGATGTTGATATGTAAAGCAAAATGGCAAAAATCAACACCCAGCACTCCTACCCTGGTATGCACGGACTGTCTGTCAGAACTACTGATGAAGATATTGAAAGGATTGAAAATGGCTGTATCAGGTAATATATTCCTTTCATCACAGTCAAGCAGACAGATTGCTGCGTAACTTGTGGCAGTGCTCTAGCTCTGTGTTATGGGAGCGTTATATGATATTGTTGACCCACTGCACTTAACTGACTTAATGATGTGTATCCAAAGTACAGAAGAGACAGCAACAGGAAAGTTGTCATGGCTTGCAGTTTTGGAACCAGAATCTGTATTACCTCAGAAATAAACTCAATTTTTTTCACATCATTGGGAATTACACCAACTCATTAAGGAGCAACCTCTTTCTCAAGTCACCGCACAGATAGTGGGATCTGTGCTTCCCACAGAGTCTGTGGGATTTGGAGAAAAGGGATCCTCCCAGTGCTATGCAGTGAAAAGCCTCAGGAAGTTTGTTTTTAAAAGTAGCCTCTGCAAATTGCCTAGTTCCTGCGATAGGGAACATTTGTAGTGTATAAAGTATATCGACATTTTTGTATGGGCTTTTCAGAGCCTCTCGCTGTACAGTGGAACTGAAAAAGTTTCTTCACATTCACCTTTCTCTGTTTTGATAGTTTTAAAGTGTTTAAAATGTGCAAGTGAGCGTGCGCGTACATTTTATACAGTATCAGTTGTTTTGTCTAATCTGGGCAAACCCTGCTGGTCCTGCAGGAAATGATCTGATGATCCACAACACCTGAACAGACTGGAAAAAGTGTTCTTCTGTTGGCTTGTTATGCTCAACCACCTCCACTATGTGGACCTTGTCAGACTGTCTCTTGCTGTTCAGACTAGAGCACTCAAAATCCTGCTGGACAGATAGGACTGCCTGCGTTATGATAGTTTTGGATTACATGCCCCTAGCATCTAGTATGGATGTGAACCCTGTCCTTTTTGAATTGATCCTTTTTATCCATTCTGCTTTGCTTACATCATACCTTCTGTCATGTAGGTGTACCTAGACTAGTGAAAATGGAGCTGCTTTTATTCTGCACAGTATGGCATGCTTGACTTAGTTATACTACCCCATGGTCTCCTTAGGGAGATTTGTAAGAGCCGGGTCCCCCCTGTCTCCATTTACAGTGATATCTCAGAAACAGAGAAAACACAGATGAAAATGAGCCTCTTCCTTTCCTTTTTTAATGTCCTCTTTGTAGAGGGTGTCAGTGATTGGCAGCTCACAGAATGGAATTACTGGCGGGGAGTACTGAGAGTGTGGTTATAAAGGTTTAAATGTAGAATTAAATCACTGCAGTCATCTGCAGTTTCAGAGGCAATGACTTGCTTATGACAGATAGAGGGACTAAAATATGAATTGCACTTTATCATGATGATGAGTCTTGAAGAGCCATTTGTTTAAAATAAAGTTTGCTGTTATCAGCAGTAATTACAGGAGTTCATGGATGAGTAAAAAGATACAATCTCACTCCATAAAAGAGATCTCATGTTTAAGGCTTTTGGATTGCTGAAGTGATTGCAAGTACATACAATACCTTTGTAATACCACTCAAAGAATCCCGATACACATTTTTTTTAATACATGACTGTAGATATTGGAAAAAAAAACAGGTTTTCTAGAGTAGAAGTAGTTCTCCTTTGCCTTTATCTTCTTTCAATGCCTGTTGGCTATAGTTCAACAAAGCAATTAAGCACATTACTTAGTTCTCATTAAAGTCAGTGGGTGTTAAATTTATGCTTAATGCTAAGGATACCCTTAAATGCTTTTCTCTTATGGAATGAGGTATTGTCAAGGAAAAGCATTCACTGAAACAGTTAACAGAAAGCTGCTGGTGGTCTTTAAACTGCCGTTCTCAATTATGCTGAAGTAGGCGATTCATCTGCCCGTATCCTTACAGTGTAGTGTGCTATAAAGTTGGTCCATTTTGTTAAAACAAAAATCGACAAAACAAAAAAATAACAAATTAGTCTTAATTTTTAAAATCCAGCCTCTGTATAGAAAGGGCTCGAATAGGACAGGCAGCACATGAGCTTATAGACACGGTTTGGCTGTCTAAAAGTTGGAAGTAGGATTCAGCTGTGCCTTGTAGACATCTGGATTTTAGTGTCTTTATGTGAGTGGGTGTCTAAGTTCCAGCTGTCATCAGTGGAGATGCAGTCAGTACTAATAGTCAGTGCAGCCTAGGGAACTGTTCGGCTTACTCTGAAGTTGAATAGCTCTTCAGACTCGTTTGGCTGTGTTGATTATGAGAGGTATTTAGTTGCCTAAAATAGGCATCTAAAGCTATTTGAGATACCATAGAGCATCTGAAGCTTTTAGCTGGGGCTACTGGGTATGGGGTGAGACCTATGTGCTCTGGAGAGGTCAGATAAAGTATTTTGAGGTGTTCCAAATGGTACTAGACTCCTATATTGAGGCAACTGGATCAAGCCCTAAGATGGCAACTGACTATAATGGGAACTTAGATACTCAGCTTGTATTAGAAACCCTGATTTAGGTCACTGCCCCCTGGAACCAAATCCCACCCTTGAAGCCTGGTTCATGGTCTTTTATTCAAAAGGCTTCAGCAATTCCCGTTTAACTGATCAGAACTTCAAAACAATTAGTAAATGTTTTGAACTCCTAATGAAAATTCCAAATGACAATGTAGAATGAAAATAGAATGAAAATTCTGGATTATGCATGCCTTTTAGGTGAAAATGATCTTCTAGGGTTTGCTTGAAGATCTTTATGCAAATTTAGACCCAAATTAAGTCATGGCAAGGGACAGGTACAGAGCAGGTGGTGATGTAAATACCCTTCCCAGAGCTTACTCCGCTAGATACCTTGAAAGCGTGGGAAGAAATTTGCCTTTAGAGAGCTGAAGAGGCGTGGAGCAGAAACCCCCGTGTCAGTGAGTTTTCTCTAAGATACAGTGTCATTTCTACCCCCGTGGAAATAAAATCTTTTTCAGGATAACCCGAGGAGGCACAATCATCTGCTGATGTTTCTGCTTTGTAACCTGCTCTCTGTTTCTTGGCACACTGCGTATTCTCTTCTCAGGTTGATTTCAGACCCTGTGACACCCTTGGATAGTAACGGCAGTGGTTACTGTTTTGCTACAGATACCAAACAAGTTTATGGAGTCCAGATGGGAGTGAGTCTGTCTTTGTAAAAATAAAGTAAAACTATGCCACATGCATTGAAGGTGTTAGATCAAAAGCCCCATCTGTAACTGTCCCTCTGTATCAACATAAAGCCAGCCAACAAATAAGGCCTCTTGTATTATCTGAACAGGGTTGAGGAAAGTCAGGAATGAGTATATGAGTTTCATAATAGGGAGTTATAACAGGGAGTTATATTAATGGAAGGAAGAATTCATTTTAGATTTACTTTTTGATTTGTATTTGTGTGAATTAAAGTGGAATACGTTTGTGATTGCTGTGGAATATCAGACAGGTGCTTTCATAAGAGTTGCCTGGCAGTCCTCTGTGTATTTTTTTTGATCCTGTTGCAAATACACATAAGCTGTATATGTAAAAGTGAAATGCAAGTGTTTTAGTACTGTTTCCACACAATTATTTTGATTTTCCTGATAGCTGCACATGTTGTATTTACAACTGTTTTGTCAGGTGAACCTGAATTTATTTACAAATTGTTATATTCAGTTATAACATAAACCTAGTTGTAGAAATTCTTGGTGCACATATACAGTAATCAGAAAATGTTTTTTAAAAAACAGTCAAGCAACCAAAATAAAAATATAGACTTCAGAATTTCAATAGTTGAGTCCATAATCCACCCAATTTGATTCCAGCAGTTGAGTCTGAGAGTTTTGCCTTTTTTTCCTACAGAATACAATTTTTTCAGTGAGTGTGTCTGATCACTTATTGGTAAGAATCTGACCAGAGGGCAATTTATATAATTTGAAATTTTCAATTTGGTTTAGGGGACTCTGGATCAGACTGGAAGGTGTTCAGATCCGGTCACACTAATTATGCCATTTTCTTTCACGTAGATGAAAACATTTCTTCAACATACTTCTGGCTTCAGATACCAAAAGCCACACCTTGGATTGAAAATATTGGGTTTGAGAGGGTGCCGCTACGTGCTCTGTAGCTACTGCTGGCAAGAGGACAGACAGTTTGTAAAACTCTCAATGTTGCAGATGCACAAAATATGATGAGACTGTGTAGGGACAGTGGAGCGCAGCTTTCCACACTGCTGCGGAGTATGGAGGCGATGACCGTGCACATGAAGCACGTAACAGATGATGTACTTAGCTAGTATGACTCTGTGCTGATAAGTGGAGCTGGTGGGACAGTATTGCTTTTGGTACCCGATCAAGCTTGTTTAGAGGTCACTCAGCTCTCTCTGCACTATTCTGCATTGCCTTCCCAGGCATTTACTCAAAATAAAGCTGAGCTCTTCGTTCTTAGCCTTTTATTTATTGTCAGCAGATGCCCAAACACAGCGATATCAGTAATAAAGGAGGCTGGGACTAAAAAAAGTTTACAAAAAAGAAGTAAGAAAGAGAGACAGTTAACAGTGCATTTTGGATAGCTATTTTCAACTCCTGCTTGGCCATTGTTCTCACTGAAAAAACAGCACAGTTACATCAAAATAGAACATCACATGGTGTTCATTGTATTTCAGTATGCTTACAGAGGCTAATAAAATTGAAATGAATCTCCCTCTGAGATTTCGGAAAAAGTCTGATTTGCCTGGTTTTCTTAGACTGACAAAGAATGCACTCTGACAATACTTTATCCTGTTTAAATACTACTTGGAAGAACACCTGAAGTATTTTAGTCCAAGTTTTCTGTATTATTATTCACTACTCTATTTTGTGACCCTTATATTTAATTACATATATTTAGAGCAAATATAACAACTTAAAGTACAGTCACTGAAAGCAGTTGTGTTACTTCAGCATAGTGAGATACTCGTCATTACCTGAGTCACTGATTGAAAACAGACTTCTAATCCATCCAGATGTGAAATAAAAGATCAGGTTTCTGCAAAATACTTTTTTTTTCACATCTGAATTGTGACACTTAAAATTATTTTCTAAGAATTCCCACTATTTTCTTTTTAAAAAAGTATTTTCAGGACTCAAAAATAGTAATGATGGGTAAGTAAGAACAGAAGTAGCAATATTAGAATTTATTGCTATCTAAGATCACACAAAACGTGTTTTTCTGTAAAAGGGAATAAAAGGACTTAAAAACAGCCATAGCAGTGCAGTCTAAAAGACTGCCTAGTCCAGTGTCCTCTCTCCAGCAGGACTGTAGGCAGATGGTCCAGGGAAAAGAAAAAAAGCAGGCAAATTGCAAGTGTCTGCAACATACTTTCCTCTAATACTCTCCCAGCATCCAGCTCAGGAGACTTCTTGGGCTGAATGTGGGCTCTGTGTATCTGGTAATCGGTAGTGGATTTCTATTCCATGCTCTCCTATGCTATGTTAACTTTGGCATCCACAATATTCTCAACACCCACAACATGAACTAGGTTATAAAGGTTTTTCAATATTAAGCAGTGCTTATTGGTGTCTTCTAATTAGAAGAGAAGAAGAAAACAGTTAGCAAGTTGAGAATTCTGGGATGGTCAGGACCTATCTTTTTCAGCATGGTTCTTTGTGTAGAAAGAATAAAGTTTTAATTCTCTTTTTGTCAGTTTCTCTGTTGTGAGTACACAAAAAATTGAGCTGCTAATTATCCTTTTTGTGGGCATTCAAAATGCTGTTGCCAGTTCTTAGGAAGATACTGCAAGTATCATTATAGACAGTGTTTTCCTCACAATACAGATTAACAGACTCATGTGAGAGTTCTTGTTTGCATGACAAAGGGGAAAAGAAGCGATCCTTAATGGATGTGACAAAGTCTTGTGTGAAATGTGTTCACCTGATTCGTGTCAATATGGACTAATGCTAGGGCCGCATGGTGAAATGTGACTTTCTATCTTATATACCCTTGTATAACCGCAGGCCTAAGAGAAATGGAGTGGTTAATGTATATAGGTTTAGGTTTTTGTAAAAGACATACTTGTGTGTTAGTCTGGACCGGTTTTGCTGTTAACCGTATGGTGTCAAGCCATAAAAATCTGGAGTCACCCTAAGGGTGAGCTGAGGAAGGCCATGCGCATACGAAGGCCATGCGCATACGTGGAATCTGGGGTAATCCTGAAAGCAGCCAGGAAGACCACCAGATGGGAGCCAAGAAGACCCCGAGGGCATGCGCAGAAAGAGATAAGCCTACTCCTGGAATTTATTCGAATAGACCCACCTTTTAAAGAATGTGTATTAGCAGAAAGGATATAAACCAGAAACAGGAGCTGTACGGTGTGCGTCTTGGTAGAGCAGAGGCTCCCGGCCCACTCAGCGCTGTTTGCTTGCATTTATTCATTTAATAAATTGTAAACTTAAATTGCAACCCGATTTGGGACTAAGTTATTTATCACATCTTGTAAAAGTAAATGCTAAAGAATGAAGAACACAGAGAAAATCTGAGGAGTCTTATAAAAAAATGCAGAGTGAGCCCTGATGAAGTCCAGGTTCCACTGAAGTCGATTTCAAAACTCCATTACTGAAAGATGAGGCTACAATTTCACTTGTTTTTCTCAAATGCTAATTATTGCAGTGCTAATAAGTCGTCTTACAGTTAGAGGAACTCCTGGGGGTTGGCAGGCACTGCACGTAGCTTCCCATTATAATCCCTGTCTGCAGCTGTGTGCCGCTGGGCTGCTGGAGTGTTTTCGGTGTGTGGTGACAGCCCGAGGTGCCTCATCTGGTCGCTGCCAGAGCAGCCCTGTTTTGCTGTGCAATGGGTGAGGTTTCAGTTCCGAATCGAGCGGCATTAGGCCTGCGGTTGTGCCACTGGTGGCAACAGGCTGGTCTGACCTGCGGTGGTGCTGCTCAGGGCCACCTACTGTAAAATCACCGTTTCCCCTTTCAGTCCAAGCAAAAAGAGATGCTTTGAGTATGTGCTTTGAGTCATACGTAGGAACTGCGCTGGTAGAAATTCCAGACTCTTAACCCCAAATAATGTCGAGGAGAACAACACTGAAAAAAGCAGTGGGCAATCACTTAAAAGCCCCCTGGGGATGGACTCCATGTTGAAGGAAAGCTGCTGATGCCTTACAGGAGGCGTTTGAGTAGAAAACATGCTTCCCATAATTGTCTATCTGCACACCAGAATAGTGCTGACCAGTAAGGAATCAGCTTCTGAGCCTGCTGGAATGGATGGCAGTGCCTCCACTGACTTCATTTTGTGCTGGATGGCTCCAAGAAAGTAGGAATATAGGCTTAGCTCTATGTTTATCAGATGTATGCCGTATTACTAGGAAGAGGACAATTTGCTGCATTGTTTCCTGATGTAGTGGTGGAAAGAATCAGATGGGGGGAAGTCTGCTGGAGGCTGTATGGTATTCTTAAAGAAAATTTGCTTTTGCAGAACCCATTCACTATGCGAGGATGTGTCTTCAGAACTGCAGAGAGTCATTTCTGTGGACGGAAGACATCTATCTGAATCCCAGGCCAACTCATTCACAGGCCGGGGAGCAATGGCAAGGTAACATGCTAACTAATACCATTTCTAGTATTAAGTTTAACTTGTTGAAAGAGACTGATCACAATTTGGAGGCAAAGTAAGAAGAACCATCACTTTCCAAAGCGAATGGATGGAGACCAGCTGAAGAAAGTCTATATAAAAAGTAACAGCAGCTGCTTTTGACATTGATTCTGAACTCATCACTTACTCATTGCTGATAAAAACAGAATAGAATCCTACAGATGCTGAATGAGCTCACACAAATTAGACTGAATACAAAAAAAATATATATTTTTACACAATCAGATCTGAGAATATATTGAACGTTGAGGAAATGCATGAAGTGAGGCCAGACTGTAAATGGTTAAGTGTTTGGTTGTAGCTGATAGCTGATGCAATGTTTGTTTCCTATCAAATAAGACATAATGATTTCCCTTGTTGGCAGATGGCTCTGGCAAGGGAGGAGACAGGGGCTCTTGTCTCGGGAATGCAAGGGTTTCTCTCAGATTTTAGGATCCAGTTATGTTTATAATGGATTGGGAGCCTTAGTCAGCAAAATTGAAGCCAACCATTTGCTTAAGTCATTTGCTTTACCAGGACTTAAAATAAACCTTAAAAAAAAAAAAAAGCTTCAAAAATTTATTGTGTCTGCTTTAAATATTTCCAGCTGAGACTACAGAGCTCTGTCTTCAGATACCATTGTTGCACCCAATACAGACCATACTCCGTTTAAGCATAGTGTATTTCTAAAAGCAAAGAAAAAACGTTTATAAAAGCTAGAATAATTTAAAGAGTGTGTTTGACACTTCAGCCTTTTGAATGGTGGAGAATAAACTTGTATTTCCCTGTTTGGTTGTCAGATGGTGACACCACTGCATGTAGATGACAAAGTCTGCAAGAAGTTGGTTTTAGGTGGAAAACATTCATAGATGTATGTTTTGTGTAAACATAAAGGCACGTGAATATATACACTCAAATTGATAACTTCCTTTTTAATCTTTGTTTACATTGTTATTTACCCTTTTTCAGGATAATTTGAATTACACATGTGTAGCTACAGTTACTTATGCTCTAAATATACAAGGAAGCCTCTGATGAAAGCATGAATGCTTAGCAATTTAAATATTATAGTAATATAACATGCCTCTTGAATGCAAATTCTCAAGGACCTAAGACAACAGCATTTGTTGGACTTCACTGAGTATCTTTGAGATGTAAATGACAAAAAAGTCAAAATAATATAGCACGGCAGAAATCAGAAAGTTCTATTTCTTTGTTCAAATAGAGAGGCTCTCAATCTCATTTGGTAAAATCTGTTTGCTTCTGAACTAACAGGTCTCATCAAAATGCTTTATTTTCTAATCTAAATATGAACATCCATATTAGTTTTCCATACCACTCCATATGTGAAAGCTGAGTTCTGCTCAGGCAAAGAGAAAAATTCTGTGGCTTAATTTGATGCAGCATTTTTTTGAATAGAGTGAGGAAATCTCAGAATTTTATGTGGAACTTTTCTTTTCTTTTGCGTTCTTGGTAGACTTTGAATTCTCTTAATTTTGTCAATTGTAGATGATTTACATGATGCTATCTTGGTATAGCGCTAAAGAACTAGAAAGACATTTTTCTAATTTCTGATACGTGATATTATTCCTGCCTTTTTTGTCCTTTTTATTTCAGGGTAAAAGAACCTGGGCAAGATCTATGAGGACGTGTAGTTAGGCCCTTGAGAATTGCAGTCGAGAGTCAGATGCACTTTACCATAAGAATTAAATTGTTCGTATCAACCTCTTTTTGGATTCTGAGCACATGTAATACTAGCCAATGCAGACAGAATGTAAAGAGCTTTCCTTGAGTAGCCCAAGGTCTCTGTAAGAAGTTAAGCATTGTTCGGGATTTCCTTATGCTGTTTTCGAGGCCAAGTTTGGGGAACCTGAAATAACACCACTTTTGTCCAAACTAGATGCTGATAGAAAATAGTACAATATGTTGTATGGGTAATAAATATAATCACTTTTGTAGATTTCAGTCTTCAGTATTTTCAATTTTTGAGAAACATGTTTCTTTTTGAACTTTGACAGACAACATTGTAAGGATTAGTAATGTGAATTAGTGGGTAGAGAAGAAGATGCATAATGATACAGTGATAAATTAATTACATTGTCATGATTTTTTGCTTATCTCATTTCAGTGCTTTGCTAGAAATTTAGGATGAGGAAATAGTGCTTCCTATGCAGTAGGCAGGTTTATATGTGATAAGCAATTACTATGTCTGCAGACAGGCCCTTTAAAATCACAGGGAAAATGGCTGAATTATTATCATTCCTTATTTCAAAGTCTGTCCTCCTTCACCAACTATTCAGCTTTTGTTTCCACTGTGTGTACCAGCCCTTGAGCATGGGATCCTGTATTTGATATCTCCTAATTCTGTCAGTCCACGGATTACCCCATTATCACGTACTGTCAGAAGATTATCAGAAGTCAACTGCCCCACTCCAACCACTTGATTTGCCCTCACTTGGCAAGAATATTCTTCTGTTGCTCCTGCAGTGCTGGTACAGTGGATTAGGAACTGATGTTTGGAATACTTTCCTGATTCACTGCAAAAGGTGTTGTATGAAATTGTGGGAAGTGACTGGGTTCACACGGTTAATCCATCAAGTTCAATTTCATGGCAGGTAGAGAAGTGGAGAATAATCCTCCTGGGCTACTTTGTGGGGATGATTTAAGCCATCTGATGTTCTGTTCTGGTTCAGTCGACGTTGTATGTCTGTTCCATGCAGGCTATCACGATTTGTCATATCTGTGAGGTCATGGGCCACAAGACATATGCACCATGAAGATCAAAGACCTGATTCTTTCCTAGAACGTATCCGAGGGCCGGAGCTCATAGAGGTGTCCAGTAGGCAAAGTAACATCCGCTCCTTTCTGGGTATCCGTGAGCAACCTGGGGGAGTAAACAGGTAAGAAGATGTGTTTATAGTTTAAATGAAGACGACTGAGGTTATGGTATTTTCTTGGTGATTAGGATGTAAGTTTTATTTTAAGAAGAGGGTAAGGAGCTTAGCATGGGAGATGAACAGAGTATCTAATGCTGACTAGGAATCTTCACATAACCGAAGTGTTATGGCTTTCAGCAGGTTTTCTCTTTCCCCTTCAAACACACTGTGGCAAAGATCTTGAAGTAAAGGATTTTGATCATACTGCTTCAGGCAGAATAGTTTCTCAGAACTGGGATTTTGTCATATGCTACCTGTGCAACATGATGTTGCTGAATTCCTCTCTACTGAGGATGAATGCAATTTCTGTTTCAATAATCTAGGATGTTGCTAGTTGTGGCTTTTCAGGACATTAATGTTATGCACATTATCTGCGAGAGTTAGGAAACTCCAAACAAGCAGTTGTGCAAAATGTGTCATTGCTTCATTACACCTACTTAGAAGTTCAGCTGCTAACATTACAGAAGGTTTCTGATGCAGAAATGAGAAAATCTTTTTTCTGCTGACTTAACTTATTAGCACATAGTCTTTGGTAGAGAAGGCAGGTTCAGTCCTATCTTAAAATTTTCCCAATAAAACAACAGAGGCTTGCAAGAGAAACGTTTATGTCTTTACAGTCTTTTGACTTGATGACTTATTATTACTTTATAAGTATATGGTACAGTGTTTTAAATTTCACTTCAGCTAAAAGAGGAAAATGAAGTCCCAAGACAAAAGTTGACTTTCTGTTTAGCATTAGACTTTGAAGCATAGACTCCCATAGTTAAAGATTGCTAGGTGAGCAAGTAGTAAGTTGATTTGTTTCAAAGTCTCAACTAGTAAAGCAGATTAAAGCAGGAACCTTTTAAGGGCTGTACATGGTACAGGTTACCTTGATTTGTTGTGGTCCAGCACAGCCTTATTATCTTCACTTGATCTACTCCTTAGAAATTCAGCTCAAAACCACATTTTGTTGAATTAGCCAGACTGTTGTCTGATTTTTCAGACATCTGGATCAGTAGCAACTGCAGATTTGAAGTAACTAGAGAGGACAACATTGATCCTGGGCCAACAAACCTCTATATAAGGCTATTAGAAGAAGTGAATTTGGGAGTATCCATCCTTGCCTTCTCAGTTTTACACTGTTGCCACATGACAGTAACTCCCAGTTGTTTCTATCACGAAGGCTTAATTCTGCAGCAATGGTAGGTATGCTTGTTACTTATCCACAAGCCTTGACACTGCATCTGTAAAGAAGACTTGAAAGGATTGAAGAAAGCTTAAAATAGTAGTCAAATGAGTGCAGGGCTAAAAATAGTGAGATGCATGTTGCCGTGCGCTAATACGCCTGAGAACAAGCTTCAGACATCAGATGTGGTCACAAATGCGCATGCCAAGCACATGGTAAAAAGAAACTGGTGCCTTGAAAGAGTTATGCAAAGGGGCTTATCACTGCAGTCAAAGTTGACCTTCCTAATCTTATCAGTGCATATGTGAGAAGCTAGTAAGTCAGTCCGTCATGTCTGTAAACACGTGTATGGAATACCAACAGTCTTTACACTGTTTAATGTGTTTTATTTAACTTGCTGCAGTCACTGGCCCTTGGCCAGGTTTAACGTCAACTATAGCAACAACACCAATGAAGAGTAAGTACTGGTAACTTCCAAACACCTTTCTACTAGTAGCTGCTTCTCTTTACCCTTCCAGCATTTGTAGTATAAATCCTTATCTCTTCCTAAGCCTTTCCTAAGAATGTAGTTTAATTATAAAGAAAGATCTAGTTTTCTTGGTATGAAAACCATCCTTCATGCTCCCTGTGAACTTCTTTTTGTCTGAAGTTACCCTTACCTCTCCAGGAATGAACCTGATTAAGCATGAAGTCCCTATCTCCTCTAGTTCAGCTGGCTGATTTTGCTGCATTGCCAATTGGTTTATTAATTCTTCAGTTTTAAAATGAGATTCATGTCTTAACTTGCTGATAGTGACTTTCCTCTTTTAACACACTAGTCCCTTTCTGCAAATCAAGCACCCCCAAAATTTCAGGTTATCAAATGAGAAGTGACACTGATCAGGGTACCAAGGAAACACTCATGTGTGCAGTCTAAATGAAAACTAACTATCTTTTTAAAATGTGTGTTTCAGTTCAGCAGATATTGTTGGTGTAGATGTAGAGTGACAGTCGACATAATAAGGCATTGCAACAGAAGCTCTGACAGAAGCTGTCCTTCGGAGTCTATTTTATATACTTGAGAAGATATTTCCCAGTGTTACACCAAAAAGAAATCTCTTGAAAAGGTGAAGAGCTCCTTTAAAATCACCCAACACCGAAGTTTGTTGCATGTCTTAGACTACAGCTATCTGAGGACGTATCTGCTCTGTAGCATCCAGTCTGTTCTCATGCATGATGATAATTAATGTTTTTCATTGCTTTCCAGATGAAAACAAAAATTAAAAATAATCAGGACAGTTGCTGATTATGTCAGAAATACTTCCAGGAAACTGTCGGGGCTTTTTCTCCAAATAGCTGTATCATGGGCTAGCTCAAACTGCGCATTTTAAATGATGCTGCAAAACCTGTTTGCACATACCTGAACAAGAGGTCTTCCTGCTCCCGAAGCAACTTTTTAGTTTGGTTTGCATAACTTTTATTAAAAAGGAAAATCAGGGTGCAGTGAACAGTGACAGAAAATGTGCAGAATTTTATTTAGACTGGGTGCTAAAAGCCTGGAGCCTAGCCGGCTAGTCAGGGCCCAAAGGACCAATTAGGATGGAATATACTGCTTTCTTACTCTGTTTCTGACAATGACTCATGTACCTTGGGCAAAACTTTCATCCTTCCAATGTTTCATTATTTTTAAATGAAGATAACACGTTTGTCTACCTGCCTGACAGTCTGAAACATACTTGACAGGTGAGAAATGCAAATATTTGACTCATTCAAAGACTATGACAGTGTTTTCATAGGGGCTGATGAAGACATATTTTCTAAGTCTGAAGATGCACGCTCCTTTGAATGTGCTGGAAACAGAGGATGGATGCCACTGTACTGCTGTCAGAGAGGACAGGCACAAACAATTGTTTTATTAGTTACTGGATTACGGTTGACTCAGTAGCACTGATAAAGAAAAAAAAAGATGCAGGTCTTTTCAAAGCTTTGGGGTTTTCATGATGTTAAAGATTTAAGAGTGCCTGCCCTTGGGGAACCGTAGGTGATGCCTTCAAGTCTTGGATTATGGCCAGCCTTTTCCTCTGAGTGACTTCCACCATGAGACTACAAGTAGGTGGGAGTGTAAGAAGTTGGGAGTTACCACAATAGAGAGAGAAACAGAGGCCACAAAAACGGAAGAATCTCACTTATGAAAGATATCTGTAGTTGACAGATGAGTTTGTAGGAGATGTCAGGCCAGAGAAAAAGAAGTCTTGGCATTAGATGCTATGTGAAATGTTTTTTTCTCCTTTTTAAAACAGAACAGAGGAGGAAGTAGGAATTGTCAAAATATTCCCTCCAAAGTTCACCACCACTGAGACTTCTTGATTGATTCTTTGTCTCAACCTACTTTTCCCTGCATAACAGCATTCACAAATGTACAGTGGCCCTAGCCTTTGAAAATTATGTTTTCTCACAGTTCTTCCTTTCTGGTAAGAATGCCAGACATCTCGGGTATTGAGGAGCTGTGTTAATGCTAATGGCAGCAGCTGTGAATGGGCCTTTAGATCAGGCACTGTGCATAGTAATGTGCAGTGAAATCCTGATGTGTTTTAAATTGGAAGGAGTTTTCAGGGCAGATTTGAAAGAGAAGCCATAGAAGTCCAGGGGGGTCAGTGGCAGAGAAATAAATAGTTGAGCAACAGTTCCCACTGCCATGTAGAAATCAGCCTTAGTAAATGAAAACGTGTTTCTTTGAGTTGAGATGCATATATAAATAGAAGATCAGTCAACCTAAAAGTTCTTTTCTTCTCCAGTTATGCTCCCTTGCAGTCTATAATCTTAAAGATTTCGGTGGTGTTGGTCAGCGTGGTAGGTATTTCCCTGGACATGGAGGCATGCAGGATCTCAGCATTTTTTAGCAAATGAGTCTGGGCTTTTGCAAATTACACTGTGGTGCTACATTCCCATAGAAGTGTTTAAGGGTAAGAATTGGAACAGGTGCTCATTGCTGATAGGTGAAAGGTACTAATATCTTAAAATTGGTGGCTGTTGTCTTCTCCCTTGGAGTGCTTCTTTCTCCCTGTAACGAGCACATTCATAGACAGGACTCCCGTTCACAGCGTAGACTTTTTCTGATCTGAGATGTACGAGGAAGTATACCTGAAAAGCACAAGTGAGCTCACTAAACTTTTTACCTGTTGGTTCAAATCCTGTAAGCAGCACTTTTTTGAATCAGACCCAGTCTTGGCAGTTCAGAGAAGAACACGTAGCTCCCATGGGAGTAGGAGTCCATGGCTATCATCCAAACCAGACCTTATGTGTGGAGAGTTATATTTATATGTGCATTATCCACATAGACGGTAGTGTCAGAAACAGTTCGGCTTTTCTGTCTAACCAAGGGGGATGCTTTCTGCTTCAAGGAATAAAGAAATTTCAAATACAGAAGAGGGAGTTCTCAGGTGGTGGGTTTTCTGCTTGTACAAATGAGTGCTGTTCTTCAGCTTACATGATTCTTGACCAATGCATGTAGGAAATTTAACTCTAAGATTAAGTATTGACAGAATCTTAGGAAAGATGATAACTTTCTGCATTTTTGAAGAGGATGCGTGGGCCTATCTGCATAAGTTAACATAGCTCAAGACTCACTCTTCTGTTCAGACAAACCTAAGAATGGGAGAAGTCAGATCCATCTTTATATCTGGCTTATCACATTCTAATGAGGTAAAGGCTGTACATACTTGAACAGTATGAAAATCTGTCTCTGGTATTAAATCTTCCAGCTTGTGTCTGTGCTGGATACTATGGAATGGTAGGATACAATTATGTTAAATAGTCCATGTTTTCCTTTATTGCATGAAAAACAATTAATAAACATGGGAGTAATCATGATTCTGTTAAGTCTAGGCAAAATTCCCGTTGATTTTGGCAGGGATGGAACTTTGTGCTTAATGCTTAGCCTTTGAATACTGTGGCAGTCGAATACAGGCAGGGCAGCTTGGGCATGCTTCCTCTGACTAAACATGCACACCTGCATCTGAACTAGGCAGCCCATTCTTCCTTTACAGCTGATGGAAAGAAAAAAAAATGCTCTTAGGGCACAAGTCATCTTGTAGATATGGACTATGAGATACGGACTATCTAGTAGATACAGTAGATCTCTAGAGATCTAAAATAGGTTGGCTTAATCATGCTGACTATAAAGCATTTATAAAATGACTATTATGTACTTAAGTGAGACACACCTCTTTTCTCTGCATCTGCTGCTTTTGTTCAGACATTGACTGGGATCCTTCTCCAGGGCAATTGTTGAAGCCAGAAGTAATTAATTATAGCTATGTTGGTTTTAAAGAACAGTGAGAGTAAATTCAGCCTCATTTCTTTTAATTACCATTAAAGGTTCAGACAGTCGCTGTGAGGTTTTGGATATGCAAAGACCGTTGATGGTTTGTTAAGCCATTTCAAGCTCTAATATCATTTGATGGATTTCTTTTTAAATGCCTGAGTTCTAAAGAGTGAAACAAACTGGAAGCATTTAATTAAAATCAGCCTTGTACACTGATGTCTGAAAAGGTCCAAGAAAGCGTGGGTGACTAACGCACAGAATCGGCCAGCTGGTTACCTGATGTGGTAGTGTTAGTGTGGTGGTGTCCATTTTTACCAGTTGGATCCCTGTCCTGCTCTGTCCGGAGTCTAGTCTAGTCCTGTACCTCAACATCCACCCTCTCCCTTAACTGCTAGAATATTGGTAACGTTGCTAAGCCTTGCATTATGTTGTACAGCAAAAAGGAAGAAAAGAAAGAGGTTAAAGAGGAGAAAAAAGAGGAAAAGAAGGAGGAAAAGAAGGAGGAAAAGAAAGAGGAAAAGAAAGATGACAAAAAGGATGACAAAAAAGATGATAAAAAAAAAGAAGAGTAAGTATAAAGAATAAACGTGTGCTTGTAACACACCTCCTACACTGCAAAGCACGGTATGGCATTTCATCATACCACTTCCATGACAATTCTTGTTCTGTAGGCTGCAGAATGTTAGCCTGTCAAATCTTTAATATGTTTTTCCCTTTAGAAAGGTGCAGCCGCTCAACAAACTTGTTGCATCTTTAAGACTTGTGTTTAGACCTGTCACGAACAGCTTCCTAGGTCAGTAAAAGGGTATTCAGCTGCCTCTGGTCACTTTGATTTGCTGTTGAAGGTCACTTCTTTTACCATGAGGTCATTTTAGGATCGCAGCCTTCTTTGCAGATCTGCACGGGCTTTTCATTGTTCCAGAATGTCCGTAATGATTCAGACTAGATGAACCAAAAGTCTGGTTTGGACAAAGAGCAGAAATCTTACACGTAGAAAATTACAGATCTACTAATAAGTTTAGTTATTACACTGACTAGCATATTTGATTCGTTAATATGGTGCGGTTCATTACTAGTGATCACTAAAGTTTGCTTCTGCTTAGGTGATGCTGTATTTCTGCAACAAAATGAGATCATTTGAATGCTTTTGACAGAAATGGATTCTACTTTTGCTTTGTTCCCCCAAAGCTGACCCAAACATAGCACAATTTAGTATTACCAGTCATTAAAAGTGACAATGATAGCAGATAAAAAGAGAACACATTTGAGTGGCCTTCACAGTTATGGAGTATACCGCAAGTTTATATGTATGTATATGGTGGCACGTGCTATTTAAGCATGGGGACACGTAGTTAGGTGTCACTTCCAAATGGAATCTGCTTGATCTCAAGGTCTTTGTTTGATTAGAAAGCCTTTGTTCTAAGAATTCTTTCAGCTCCAATTACTGTGTAGTGGAAGCCTGAGCTTTGCAGTAGCCTAAAGCGTTTTAAAACATTTCAGCAAAGAAAATAAATGTTTCAATGTCTAGAAGGTAGTGTACTCTGTCATATGAAGACCACATTTCATAGTCACCAGTTTTGAGGTGGTGACCAGTTTTTGAGAAGAAATGGCTCAAAACCTGTTGTGAAGATGGCAAAGTAAATACTTTTTGGATTGAAACTGCTTCCTTTACTAACATTATCATCTGGACATTCAGCTGACAACAGGGATAATGCCAGAAATACACACAAATCTGAAATACATTTTCATTACATTTTAATATGTTTACATACTTGGAGATTAGGAAAAGTTCCCCACACTAGTACATAGTTCGCAGGTCACACTGTCACCCGTTACTGTTGGAATAACCTCTGCAGCTGTGGACCTCACAATCCACTAATTCATATTTCCTCTGATTACATACGACCTGCCTAATTGCTGTCTATTCCTTATCAACCTTTCTCGTGCTGGGGGAGGGCACTTCTGAGCATACTCTGCGTGTGCCATTAGCTATGCTGTTCTTTAAATCTTCTTTAAATTCCAGGCCTGTATGCTTCGTATTAGCATCTCTCTTTGTTGCGAGGCCTAGGGAGTCAGGACTGTTGATGTGTGAAATTTGATTTTACATAATAATACATGGTTTAGTTCCAGTCACACACTGCATGTGTGTATGCAGACACAGCCTTACTTGTGTAAACACGTCTTTGAATACATATGTGTTTTACTTGTTTAAATATGTGCTCCTACAGTCATTTCCGTAATAGGGTTTGCCAAAAACATCAAAATTAATCTGCAAAGGAAGGCTCTTTCTCTAGCAATGGACCGTAGCCTTCTAACTGGAATGATAGTAAGACATATTTAACGTTTTACTTTTTTTCAGTGGGGGTCATATGCAGAAAGGGTGTGGGTTTCAGCCTGGACAATGTGAATGTCTCTGGTTTTCTTTCCACCCTTACTTTTTCCAAAGTTGGGTCAAGCAAAGAAATAGAGCGTGTCAGATGGGATGAAGCTAATATTTGGTATCTCATCTGGAGCTGCCTGCACGGAAACTTTCTCTTCTTAGGCAGCTGTGAATTCATTGTGAGATGAGCAGCCTCCAGAAGAGGGAGATGCAGCAGGTCACTTCATTATGTTTCCTGTGTAAATCTGCACGTTTTGCTTTCCAGGAAGAAAAAAGAGATCTTTGTGATAGATCCTTCAAGCAATCTTTACTACAACTGGCTGACCATAATTGCAGCACCTGTGTTCTATAACTGGTGTATGCTAGTGTGCAGGTATGGATTTAAGTTCATAGTGATTTTAGGTTTCAAATTTAGCGTCTTACTATGTTTCCTATGTAAATTATTGTCGTGTCTCCCTGCAGTACTTTTTGGGTGGCTTACCTAGAAGATTCACGGTTCATATACCTTTAGGGATATACGATATACATACCACTGGGAATAGATGGCCAATGTTCCTTTTTATCTTTCTGTCTAAAAGCAGTTGTAACTTGCAATGAACGTCCTCGTGAGCGTTGGCTGTGGCCTTTGTGTGCCACCTGCTGGCTAGCTGCGGAGGTGTGCCATGGCCACTGTAGGCTCAGGAACCACTGCTCGAGAGAGAGGGCTTCCAGTCGCCCCGTGGACAACCGAAGGGAGGGCCGTGGGCAGTGTTGGGTTGTCTTAAATTAATATCATGCATCTATAGATGCTTGAAGGGCAGGAGGATTTTACTCGAGTATTTGTTTTCCCTCGTAAAATGTGGAAATCAGTTTGAGTCGAAGGAATGGAGTGCTGTGGAAATGGTTTGCTTCGGCTGCGTCAGATGGCAGAGCGAGGTGAGGATGGTTTGCCACTCAGAAATGAATCTTGTATTTGGGAATTATCTTAATGGAGGTGTGTATCCCATGAAATGCATGTTTAATTGTAGGGCTACGTGTATTTCTCCATGAGTGCACTTGTGGGGCGTATATGTGTTTGAGTTTTGCTCCTGGCCTAAACACCTTTGAATTCTGAAAGATCCTGATGTCTGTTTGGACATAGCTCTAGTGTGCAGATGTCTGGGCATGGAGATACGCTGCCCTTAATTTTTCAGTGCCAGTAACATGCCCTAACATGCTGCTAGGCATGCTAGTACTAGGCTGCTCGTTCTTGCACTCACACTGCAAGTATTCTGCTTATGCAGTTGGTGTAAATGTTTTTTTTTATACCTTTGTTTCTTTAGAGCCTGCTTTGATGAGCTACAAGTGGACCATATTAAATTATGGCTGTTCTTGGATTATGGCTCTGATATCATCTATGTTCTTGACATGTTTGTCAGATTCAGGACAGGTGAGTCTTGCTGGGGTTTTACATTGTTTTCAGATACAACGTGGATATGAAGGTTGGAAACAGATATTCCCCTGTGGGGTCTGACCAGTGTAGTGTCCCGTCTCCAGCAGAGCCCAACCATGGAGGCTTTGGGAAGATGAAGTGTCTGATCAGCTTGGATTGTTTTAAGGCTGGACATCCCAACACGTGCACTTCACTTGTCTCTAAATTCAGTTTTATTGGTACTTAGTAGACATGCCAAACGCTGTAACAGGCTGTGTGGGGAAGGGAGAATAAGGCACTCTGCGTGTCATGATCACTCTGTGCGTGATATATTGCTTGTGCTCATTAGAGTGGGCAAGAAACCAGCTGCACCCCACAAGTGCTCCTTTCTTAGCCAAGTTGTGCAGCATCCTCCTCAGAAGTGATTACTGAGTGGGTCAAGTGCAGGACCTGGCACCCATCTCAGCCTCTGTCTGCAGCCCTCCGCCTGGAACCCACAGTGCTGCCCCTCTGCCACCAGCTGTGTTTCCTGCAGCCCCTGTGAGGTCCTGGCTGGGTCTCCCACTGCCTGGTGGCGGTACAGGATTAACCCAGGAGGGTGGTGGTATGGGATTAACCCAGGCACCGCTGCTTAGGTCCTGCCTTCCTGAAGGAAGCGTGAACGTAAAGGATCTGTGAGGACCGTGCCATGTCATGCGTGAAGTGGTTCTCTTCAGCTTCCCATCCCCATTTCTGTAGTCCAGGCAGGCTGAGAAGATTTCATATTTGATCATGCCCAGCTGATACAGATTCTAGCCTAGAAGGGATATCTGTTTAAAACTAAACAAGGTCATAATATAGGCCTAAGAAATGACATACAGAGATCCATACCATTAAATTGCTAGACTAGTCCTCGATGTACTTTGGTACGTGCACTTTGGTCTGTGCTGGCTGGCATTCTCTCAGGCAGTGTCTGGGCACAGCTGTAAGGACAGCAGAGGTTGGGTGGTGTTCATGGCATCATTTTTGGAGGGAGCTGGGAGAACTTACATGTGAATAGAAGCTGCATGGTAGTTGGTCTCAGGGCCAGAAAAGGTTTCCTGGCTGGTTATATTTACTGGTATGGCTGCAGCCCCAAAATGTCCCTTGAAAGGATCAGAAACCACACTGATCATTATGAAAATGAGAGTTCTTTTAAATTGATTTTTACATTTTCTTTTTTCCTTTTTAAAAAAAATCATGCTGTCAGCTTGACATTAATTATGGCTTGTGACAAGTTGTAAACATAATTACAAGACAGAGGCTAAAACCACTGTCACTTTGGGAAGCACACAACTGACAGCAAGCCAAATTCTTAAACTTGTTCAACAGGAACGTCTTTTACAGATAGCAGCCTAAATCACAAGACTGCTGTATTTGGGGCTGGAGGGGCTTCACCTTCTTCGTGCAGTTAAAATATCATCTGTGCCAACTAAATTTCTCTTCTGCAGTTATATCTTATTGTAATGGAAAAGAACCGAGCAGAAATTGGGCATGTCCAGGGAATTCAAGTTACAAAATTTCCATGGGCTGTCCTGATAATGATTGTTAAAGCGTGGTTAGAAGGTTGGCTTTGCAGGCTTGGCTTGGAACTGCAGAACTGCCGCAGAGATCTCCTGAACGCTTCAGTGCAGGTGTCTGCTGCAGTTTCGGGCACTCCGATAAGGAAGTTGCTTCTTTTAGGTGCTGAAATCTTTGTCAACTCTCTTGCCAGCTCCTCCTGGCTCTGCCTGTGCCTGCTGCCTTTTCCTGTAAGTCTGCAAGGTCCGCCTGCCCTGGGGACAGAGCTCCGGGA